ACATCTAGATGGCTAAAAGACACATGAAAAGATGCTCAACATCACTCATCAGGGAAATACAAATCAAAACCACAATGAGATACCACCTCACACCTGTCAGAATGGCTGAAACTAACAACACAGGAAACAACAGATGTTGGTGAGGATGCAAAGAAAGGGGTTGGTGGGAATGCAAGCTGGTGTAGCCACTCTGGAAAAGAGTATGGATGTTCCTCAAAAAGTGAAAAATAGAACTACCCTATGACCCAGCAATTGCACTACTAGGTATTTATCCAAAGGATACAAAAATACAAATTTGAAGGGGTAGATGCACCCCAATGTTTATAACAGCATTATCAACAATAGCCAAATTATGGAAAGAGCCCAAGTGTCCATCAGTTGCTGAAGGGATAAAGAAGAGGGGATATAGACAGACAGACAGACCACACACACACACACACACACACACACACACACACACACAATGGAATATTACTCAGCCAAAAAGAATGAAATCTTGCCATTTGCAACAACGTGGATGGAGCTAGAGAGTATTAAGCTAAGCAAAGTAAGTCAGTCAGAGAAAGGCAAATACCATATGATTTCACTCATATGTGCAATTGAGGAAACAAAACATGCATGCGTGGGAAGGGAAAAAGAGAATGGGAGAGAGGGAGGCAAACCACAGGAGACTTTTTTTTTTTTTTTAATTTATTTGACAGAGAGAGACAGCAAGAGAGGGAACACAAGCGCGGGGAGTAGGAGAGGGATAAGCAGGCCTCCCGCCGAGCAGGGAGCCCGACGTGGGGCTCGATCCCAGGACCCTGAGATCATGACCCGAGCCGAAGGCAGATGCTCAACCAATTGAGCCACCCAGGCGCCCCACCACAGGAGACTTTTAATGATAGAGAACAAACTGAGGGTTGATGGAGGGAGGGGAGTGGGGGATGGGCCAGATGTGTGATGGGCATTAAGGAGGGCACTTGTTATGATGAGCACTGGGTGTTATATGTAAGTGATGAATCACTAAATTCTACTCCCCAAATCATTATGACACTATATGTTAACTAGAATTTAAATAAAAATTTGAAAGAAAAAAAGCAGAAAAGATACAAACATAGCTAATAAACATGAAAATGTACTCAATTTTTTTCATCACAAAAGAAATGCCAATTAAGTTAATGAGATTATTTACATTTATTCGATTGACAGGGATAAGGTTTGGTCATACTTAGGCTCCTGGGTAAATGGCAGTGTAAAATGGAACTGCTTTTTAGAATGCCCATCTTCTTTGATGAAAATGATCGCTTGGATTTCCCAGAAAGCAAAGCCTAAGGCAAAGGTTTATGTACCCCAGGTTTATCCCAGGAAACCACAGTGGAGCAGAGTACGCAGGGCTGGAGGGAGACCCATCTGGAGTGTTCACTGTGCCTGGTTGCTCCCTTTTACCAGACTGGCTCCTGAGATGCACACACAGGAAGGCTGCTTGGGACAGCAGATCCAGAGAGAAGCACGGGTACCCCGGCTCTGCACTCCCTGCTCAAATATTCTCCCTGTGGGCATTCTTCCCCCACACTTGTGCATCACATATACATCTTGCAGAGTCTCTTGTCAACCATGAAGGAGAGTGGATTAAAGAAATTATGGAAAAACTGCTACAAATATTTTAAAACTATAGAAATTATAGTTGGCATGACCATCCTGGGACTTTCCCATGTGGCTAATATGGAATAAAAAGAATGAGCAATTATGTGATATTCTAAATTCATAATTTTCAGTGTTTAATTGACATACAATTGGCATACAATGTTATATTAGTTTCAGGTGTGCAACACAGGGACTCACTAATTCTTTACATTACGCAATGCTCATCACACCAAGTGTAGCCATCACGCGACATTATATTATTGACCATATTCCTATCTTGTGCTTTTCATTTCTATGACTTACTTATTTTACAACCAGAAGTTTGTACCTCTTAATCCCCTTCAACTATGTCACCCATCCCATCACCCATTTTCCTTCTGGCAACCACTGGCTTGTTCTTTGCAATTAGGAGGGCTCGCTTCCACCCTTGGCTATTATAAATAGTGCTGCCATGAACGTGGGGGAACAACTAGAGCTCTTTTTAATGGCTTACCAGGAGAGCCTACAGGACCTGCCTGCATCCGGGTCTTCCCAGCCGACATGCACACCTGAGCCTGCAGCCAGGGGGCAGATATCTCTGGCGTCTGCTTCGTGCCCTATAGGTCCACTTCTGACTTCCTATGAGGCTGTGCTGGACAGGTGCTCAGAGCTCAGTCACCTGCCTTCTGCCCCAGGCCCTTCTCATGAGCCACAGGAGCTGCCTTGGCTTGGAAGTGCAGGAGAGTTAAGGTCCGGAGTCAACCCTCAACCAATGGGTCTAGCAGGTGGATAACGCCCAGTCTCCCATCTTTCTGGTGGGCAATTCTGGAAAGTGTTCAGCTTCCTAGAGGTCCCAGGAGAACTGAGGGACCTGAATAGCACACCTTTATGTTGGAGTGTCCTCCCTCCGGGCGCCCTCACTCCTGCAGCTTGAGATCACCTCCAGATAAGCCACTGCTCCCAAGTCTTTGCTTCAGGCTTTGCTTTCAGGGGAACTTGAACGAGCACAAGGGGTGGTCCTTGCTTCTGAGCATTTGGCTTGTAGTTTTCCTTTCTGCACCCTGCCCAGGGCGCCAACCATTGGTGGACTAAAAAGACCAGAGGCTTCTATGAGGGGAGAAGCAGAAGGACCCGTGAGAGGTTGTCAGTGACCTGGCCATGGAGCTCCCTGGGGAGATGACTTTATCCTCACAGAATCCTTTCTTCTACACCAGCAGTTCTCGAAGTGTGGTCCCAGGATGGCGTCAGCAGCAAGCACCAGAGCCTACTTAGAAGTGCAAATGCTCAGACCGCCCCCCCCACCGCCGGACCTACTGGATCAGGAACTCTGGGGGTGGGCCAGCAAATCGCGTTTTAACAAGCTCTCCAGGTGATCCTGATGCTGAAGCTTGAGAACAACTTCTTTACATTTACCACTGGTGTGAATAAAAATAGCATTTCCTTGCACGTGGGGGGAGGCGGTGCTCCTCCCTTCTCTGGCCCTACTGCTTTCTCTCTACCCCTTTTCAGATGCTCACACCTGGGAAAGAAAAGAATTTAAGCCCTTATTTTATGTGGGCTCCCCTCCCCGCAACAAATACAGGTTTTTTTTCTTCCTCTAAGTAGCAAAGCACTTGCTACCTAGATATAAGGCTAAAGACAAAGCCTCAATGAACTTACATTTTTTCCTTTTAGTTATTATTCAGTCGGAGTTCACTTGCTGCTAATCAACTTGTGAGTTTTGCTTTATCACACACTTTATGACTCCTGATATGATTTAGTTATTTCAGGTGCTTGTGAATTACTGGTGAGAGAAATTACAAAACAACAGTGTGAAATTAGTGATTGTCACCAAATTGTATCAATTGTGGTAACGATTCAGCAGTGAGTTTTGGAAGATTTTCCTTAAAGGTGTATTGGATTCTGTGGGGAAGGAAAAACACTCTTTTCTTTTACCCTCTTGGATTCAATGACTGGGCCCTGCAAAATAAACTGACAAAGCTAGATTAATAGGAGAAAAGATTTATTTCGTATGCACAAGGAGAGCCTCACAGAAAAGAAGTGAAAATCCTCAAAGGTGGTGAGGCCTGGGGGCTTTTATACCATTTTAACGAAGGTCAATAAATTGTGCCGAAGTGACAAGACAAAGAAAGAGGTTTGGGCTTCTAGGAGTGGTAAATTGTGTCAGGGTAAATATATGGGGAAAACTAATGGAAGAGAAAGGCTATTTAGTAAGATTTGTTATGAAGACTCAAGTCAGTGCTGTCTCCAGTGACAAGAGTCATCTCCTCTTGCTGGTACAGAAGAACAGAGGGTGGCCGGGACACTGTTGCAAAGGGAAATTTTATGCCCTGCTTTTGGGCAGAAAGGGAGAGGGCAGAGAGTGCAGAGGAGAATGCTGCAATGTAACGCAAAATTCAAGGAGCATTTTTAGATTCATTTTAGTTCAAGAAAAGTTTAGTCTGCTTGAGATTCTCTCTCCCTCTTCCTTTGCCCCTCCTCCCCACTCATGTGGGTGCTCTCTCTCTCTCTCTCTGTCTCTCTCTCTAAAATAAAAAAAATAAAACTCTAAAAAAAAAAGAGGTAAGTGTACTAAGCCACAGTTTGCACTGTGCTTCTAAGAGGTGCTTGGCTAGCAGAGCAGATGCATGTGTGTACGGTTGCTCCATCCAGTGGCTGGTGTGTGTGCTCGTCTGTGTGTGCGAGGTGAGAAAGTGGTTTAGAGAGGGGAGTGTTCATGTGTGTGGATGGGTGGGAGGCCTAGAAGGGTTCACAGAAGCAATAATGTTCAACAACTATAAGCCCAAACTCTAGGGCTTATAGTAACAAATATTTGTGTTTTTTTTTTAAGTAGGCTCCATGGCCAAAGTGGGGCTTGAACTCATGACCCTGAGACCGAGAGTTACAGAGTTACATACTCTATCCACTGAGCCAACCAGGCACCCCTGGAAGACAGTACTATTAACCATAGTCCCTGTGCTGTACGTTACATCCCCGAACTTATTTTATAACTGGAAGCTTGTACCTTTGGCTCCCTGCACCCGTTTCCCCCACCCCCTACCCCCACCACTGGCAACCGCCAAGCTGTTCTTTGTATCTGAGCTTGGTTTTTGTTGTCGTTTTCTGTTCATTTCTCAGTTCCACATATAAGTGAGATCGTACGGTATTTGTCTTTCTCTGTTTCCTGACTTACTTCATTTAGCCTGCCCGTCTCCCCTTCACCGTGGTTCACCTCGGCAACTGCACACAGTCTCTTGGCTCCTCCAGGCTGCTCATCTCATGTCTGCCCTGGGCCTTTTGCACTGGCCGTTTGCTCTGCCCAAAATGCTCTCCCCTTGAGTTTTTGCAGAACTGGATCCTGTCATTCAGAGTTCAGTTCAAATGTGTCTTCCCAGGGCGAGCCTCCCTGGTCACCCAACCAAAAGCAAGTCCCAGTTCCCATCTCTTGCTCTTTATGCCCTTAACTCGTGCCCCGCACCATCTGGAATCTTTACATGTGGGTCTTTGTACATGTTTATATGTTTATTGCTGTGTTCACACACCAGAATATAGAGATATTGTCTATATCCCTGCTTATGGGACAGTGCCCGTCCCATAGGAGCTGCTCAGTAGATAGCTTTCTAACAACGAACTAATTGAATGGGCTCCCAATTCAATAAAATTACATTTTCTTTACTTTTTTTTAAAAAGATTTTATTTGTTTATTTTTAGAGAGAGATCAAGCGAGAGCAGGGGGAGGGGCAAAGGGGGAGAGAGAGAATCTCAAGCAGACTCTGTGCTGAGCATGAAGGCCAAAGTGGGACTCAATCTCACGACCCTGAGATCACGACCTGAGCTGAAACCAAGAGTCTGACGCTCAACCGACTGGGCCACCCAGGCGCTCCTTTTCTTGTCTTTTTGAATTATGCTTCTAAATTTGCTATTTCTTTTTTTGGCTTCTTGCACAAAACTCTTACTCACATAGAATCACTTGTGCCAGACTGTGGAGACTCTTATTCCATATCCTCATTGTTCATTCTTTACATACAACCTATATACATATTTTTGCAATTATGAGCAAAATTCCAAGAGAATTTTTTAGGGAGCTTCAAAAACCCAATTCAACAGTTTATATGGAAGATATAGGAAGGGGAAGAATATTGTAGGAAGAGCTAAAAATATTTTGAAAGAGAATAGTAGCTGGAGATATATGTACAAGAGTGTGTACCTATAGCCCTGGGCACATCTTAAGTGGGATTGGGGCTGGTTAAATAAATTATGAAACATCAACCCAATGAAATATCATGTGGTCATTAAGAAAAAAAGAAATAGCTCTCTATTTGCCAATATGGAAAGATCTCGACGCTAAGTGAATGAATGATATGTGAAGAATTAATTTGGGGCAGACTAAGCATTTGAGGCATCAAATTACATGGGTTGTTCTTTCCCACCTTGGCTTAGGGTCTCTGCTCCCATTGGGGATGCAATGAGACAGACCACGTCTTTATACCAAGAACAGTTGGGAGGCACTGAGTAATTTTGAGCAAATGGGAGAGTTGAACATGATTAGGCTTACATTTTGGGAAGATTACTCTGGCTGCCATGTGGATAATAGATTAGAGAGGATTACAGAGGGATTAGCAATGATGAAAGGAGACCAGTTGGGTAAACCACAGGAGAGATAATGGTGGCTCACAATATGGAGGTGGTGATAAAGATGGAGAGAAATGGATGGATTTGAAAAAACATGTATGGGGTAAAATGGACAGGACCCGGTGACAGATATGGGGTATATGTGAGGAGGAGAGTCAGGAGTGACTTCCAGGCACTGTCCTACCTGGTTCCTGCCTTCAAGGAATTGGCAGTAGTTAAACCAACACAGCAACAGCTGAAATTAGTCTATTTAGGGGCTTTTCCTACTGGGTGAGTGATGATATCTCCGTCTTCCCCAGGCCAGCCCCCTTGCATCCCCTGTGGTTCTGCAGCAGCACCTAGCTCTGGGCCCAGCAAGTGCTAATCGATGCACCTTTGTGGAATGAGGGGGAGTGCGGGTTACCATGGCGTGCACTGATTATTTAAAACCCTGTAGCCAACTTGTGCAGGGGATTCAACATAGGAGGAGCCAAATCAATGACTCTTTTTTGAAAGGGCAGCAATAAAATGCATAAGCAGTTACCAGAACGTGAGCTGTGGTATTAAAACTGATGAACTGATTACATTAGAAAGAGATTTTTTTTTTTTTTTAAGTCTAAAGAGCATAGCGAACATCAATGCAGGGACTAGAGTTTACTGCCTCTGTTCCTTCATACCTGTTGTGCCTCTGCTGGGGACACCCTCCTTCCTGGGGCCCCAAATAACTTGAAAACTCCCATTTCCTTTTGAGATGAGGCTTAACCATCTCTGCCTCTGGGAAGCTGCTCACGATCCATCCAAACCAAGAGGACTTCAGTGATGACATTTACACTGGGCTGTACCTCTTTGTGTCCAGGTGTCCCCCACTGTGGGCAGGGAACCTGCCGCGTGTGCACTTTTTTTTTTTTTTAAGTAGGCGCCACACCCAGCATGGAGCCCAATGCAGGGTTTAAATTCACAACCCTGAGGTCAACACCTGAGCTGAGATCAAGGGTCGGACGCTTAACTGACGGAGCCACTCAGGGGCCCCGATGCACTCTGCATCCCAGCATCCATTAGAATGCCTCTCTTATAGTAGTATTTCAGTTGAAAATCTTTTCGGGGTCAAAGTGATCATAAGGATGAAAAAGAAAAAGAAAGAAGGGAAAGTAAAAAAGAAGGAAAGAACAAAAATGCTCAATCAGTTATTGTTAAATAAGAGATTGAAAAATGTAATAAGGAAAAATGTATCAAGGTACATGAAGCACATTTTGTTCAACTCAAGTTAGAGGCAGCGTGCTTTCCGGAAAAAAATAATGTGCTGGACCTCTGATGCAGAAGCCGGTTTTGACACTTGACTTTGTTCACCCTGCTGGGTTTTGGTTTCTCATCTGTTAAGAGAGGAGGGCCGGGCCACCTCTGTAAGGTCCTTTCCAGTTCTGAAGAGTCAGGACAGCAAGTTGGATGTCAGGAGGTCTAAGTTCAAATTCTATTCATTCATCAAACATTATAGTCAGATGCTCTGCTCAGCTGAGTGTAAGATGACGACTCAGAGCTGTTTGTCCTTTGTGCTCACATGATTACTCACATAATGTTTCCAAAAATCAGAACTATATGCCCTTTTACACAGTAAGGTCATTCTCTTCCCTATCCCTTGAAGCCTGCACCTCCTCACCCCTTGAAGGCAATCAATCCACTTCATAGTTTCTGGGTTAATCCCCAATGTTTCCTTTTTCAAGATAAGCACATCCGAGTTATGTTTTCTTATTTTCCTCCTTAAACAGAACGTAGCTTACCCACATATGCTCTTTTGCACTTTGTTCTTTTCAATTAACAGTATCTCCGAGAAATCACAATGTATCAGTGCATGGAGATCCTCCATATTCTTTTTTACTTTTAAGAGTTTATTCATTCATTTGAGCGAGAGAGAGAGCACAGAGGGAGAAACAG